TCCATATAAAGAATTCTTCCAAGTCAACAACAAAATGACAAACACTTAATTAGTAAATGGGGAATGGATCTGAATGGACATTTTTTCAAAGAAGATATTCAGATGGCCAGTAAGAACATGAAAATATATTCAACATCATTAGCCACTATGTAATTATAAATCAAAACTACAATGAAATATCACTTCATGTCCCTTAGGATGATTAAAATAAAAGACAGACAGTAACAAACATTGGCAAGGGTAGAGAATTGGAACCCTCATGTATCGATGATGGGATTGTAAAATGATGTAGCCATTTCTGAATAACAGTCTGGCAGTTCTTTGAAAGTTAAAAATAAAGTTACTGTGTGTGTGTGTGTGTGTGTGTGTGTGTGTGTGTGTATTTGAGACAGGCTCTCACTCTGTAGCCCTGGCTGGAGTGCAGTGGTGAAATCTTTGCCTCCTGGGTTCAAGCAATTCTCTCACCTCAGCCTTAGAGTTACTGTTTGACTCAGCAATTCCATATCTAGATAATAATCACCAAAAAGTGGAAACAACCCCAATGTCTGTTGTCAGCTAATTAATAGATAGACAAATGTGATGTATTCCATACAATGCAACATAATTTGGCCATAAAAAGGAATGAAGCACTGGCTCATACATTCTAAAACATGAATGAACCTTGAAGACATTATGCTAAGTGAAGAAGCCCATCACAAAAGACCTTATATATTATGATTTCATTACAGCAATGTCCAGAATAGGCAAGGTCATAGAGACAACAAGTAGATTAGTGGTTGCCAGACAAAAAGAGGGGAGAGGAGAGAGATAGCAAATGACCGTTAGTGGGTACGGAGTTTCCTTTGGGAGTAATGAAAATGTTCTGGAATTAGTGTTGATGGTTGCACACTTCTGTGGCTATACTAAACAGTGTTGAATTATACACCATAATATATTTGAATTATACACCATAATATATGAAGTACATCTTGATAAAGCTGCTCCAATAACTTTATATGACATGCTAAATATCATATATAACACATAATAATCAATATAATATATATCTCATATTTGTTATCAATTGTGTATTATATATTGTATATATACTTAAATAGTATAAAATTATACAATTGGACATAATACAATTGTTATGAGCCCTATATCATTCCTGTTCTAGTTTAGAAGCTGGAAGTCCCTGAATTCATTTGACACCTGGCAAAACTTTCTTCTTACTTAAATATGCTGACCTAACATCCTTTAAAGATCTGAGAATTAAAACAAAACAATATCAATCCAAAACTCCCTTGTGACTAGTTTATCCCTGTGTCAAGTTGTTTTTTGTTTGTTTTCTTCTGGTTTGGATAGGATTGATTTGTACATTATGTGGTTACGAGTTTCTGCTGTGCTTCTAGTACTGGCATCACTACTAGTAGCTATGACACAGGGAAAGTTAATTCCCTCTCTTTGCCGAGGTTACTGATCTGTAAAATGGGAAAATATTTGAGGCCATCACAAAATATCAGTAGAAGGACCACAGGAACTCTTAAAAATTCAGGGTTTAAGACAACCTACAGAATGGGAGAAAAATTTTGCAATCTATCCATCTGACAAAGATCTAATATCCAGAATCTGTAAGAAACTTAAACAAATTTGCAAGAAAAACAACTCCATTAATAAGCAGGCAAAGGACATGAATAGACACTTCTTTGAAGAAGACATTTATGTGGCCAAAAATATGAAAAAATGCCCAACATCATTGATCATTAGAGAAATGGAAATCAAAACCACAACGAGACACCATCTCATGCCAGTCAGAATGGTGATTATTAAAAAGTCAAGAAACAACGGATGCTGGTGAGGTTGCAGAGAAAAAGAAATGCTTTTACACTCTTTGCGGGAATGTAAATTAGTTCAACCACTGTAGAAGGCAGTATGGCAATTCCTCAAAGACCTGGTACCAGAAATACTATTGGATCCAGCAATCCTGTTACTGGGTATATATCCAAAGGAATATAAATCATTCTATTATAAAGATACATGCACACGTATGTTTATTGCAGCACCACTCACAGTAGCAAAGACAGGGGATCAACCCAAATGCCCCTCAATAATAGATGGAATAAAAAAATTGTGGTACATATACACCATGGAATACTTTGCAGCTATAAAAAGAAATGAGATCATGTCCTTTGCAGGGATATGGATGCAACTGGAAGCCATTATCCTCAGAAAACTAACACAGGAACAGAAAACCAGACACTGCACATTATCACTTATAAGTGTGAGCTGGACAATGAGAACACATGGATACAGGGAGGGAAATAACACACACCAGGGCCTGTCAGGGGGCTTGGTGGAGGGAGAGCCTCAGGGTAAATAGCTAATGCATGCAGGGCTTAATACAAAGGTGATGGGTTGATTGGTACAGCAAACCACCATGGCACACATTTACATATGTAACTGTATTAGTCTGTTTTCATGCTGCTCATAAAGACATACCCAAGACTCGGCAATTTATAAGAGAAAGAAGTTTATTGGAATTACAGTTCCACATGGCTGGGGAGGCCTCACCATCATGGTGGAAGGCAAGGAGGAGCAAGTTACACCTGATGTGGATGACAGCAGGCCAAAAAAGAGAGCTTGTGCAGGGAAACTTCTGTTTTTAAAACCATCAGATCTTGTGAGAGCCATTCACAACTGCTAGAACAGTCACAAGAAAGCCCCACCCCCAAAATTCAATCATCTCCCACTGGGTCCCTCACACAACATGTGGAAATTATAGGAGCTACAAGATGAGATTTGGGTTGGGACACAGCCAAACCGTATCGATAACAAACCTGCATGTCCTATACGTGTATCCTGGAACTGAAGATAAAATATAATACAATTTTAAAAATAAAAAATGAAGAAAAAATTTTTTAATTTGAGATTCAGTCATTAAAACAGGGACACATACTCAATAAATGTATTGCTATTATTTTAATACTTATTACTCTGTTCTGTGGATTCTGAAAAGTAGCTTATATTTTAAACCACTTAGGTCTTATAACTGGGGAAGATTCTGCTTTGTCCCTAATTGGGAGAATGCATGAAGGACAAAGGGTCAATGGAGTCACAACCTGTGGACAGCCTGAAAACCCAAATTTGGGGTATCCTTTTGTGCTGCTTTACAAATAGCCTTCACTTGTTTTTCCTATCTGGCTTCAAGATTAATTGCTAAATTTGGAAGGAGGACCTTGAAGTTTGCTCATAAATTTTTTGTGTTTAAATAGAAGATTTTTATCATTAATATTCTGGAGTAAGCATGAGTCAGGGAGAGTGACTCAGGCTATGTTCTTAGAGGTGACTGGCCATAAATCCACTTTTGCAGAATATTAATCTCCCCTGGCTCCTTTGAAAAGTTAGCAATTATTAGTAGACAGTATGAAAGAGAGTCTTCAAAAGAGGAACGGTAAGACAATGTCACCTTGAGTTTCTTCCAAACTCATTGCTATTAGAGAAGAGAAAAGCTGTTCTCTCAAACAAACTTTGGAGCGGAGTTGTCCTGACAGGCAGAGGCAGCAAAACGAAGTCACTGGTACCTAAAAGTTAGGACATATGTGAACTGGATCCCAAGAAAAGCCTTCAAGGAACGATAAGGTTTCATGAAGCAATTTGACTCAATAATGAATTGTTCTTACCCACTGCTGGAATATCTAGGTTGACTTGAAAATATTAACCTATTTGAGAGTTTTAATCTCTAGAACCTAACAGTTAAAGGTGGATAATATCCATGTCTTTGGGCCAGTGTAAACAGAATCACAGAATTAGGGGATTCAAGAAATGGACATGAAGTATCACCACCCACTCCAAGTCCTTGCTTGAGGAAAGGATACATTGAAAGCACAACATACTGGCTTTCTTTTTCTTTCTTTCCTGTACATTTATAATCCTGGGCTCTTACAGTGTGGTTCCCAGAAGGCAGCATGGGCATCACCAAGGAACTTGTTAAAAATGCAACTTCTCAGGCCCCTCCCCAGATTTACTGAATCAGAATCTCTGAGGTTGGAACTCAGAAACCTGTATTTGTATCAACCGCTCCGGATGATTCTGCCACTTGCAGAATTACTGCTCTAACTACAGCCAGTAACAGAGCAATTTTTAAGAAGCAAGTGGTTATACCAATTGGAATTAATGTAGGAAAGACAAGACAAGACAGAAGGAAAGAAAGAGAGAGAGAGAGAGAAAGAAGGAAGGAAGGAAGGGAGGGAGGGAGGGAGGGAGGGAAGAAGGAATGAAGGAAGAAGGAAAGAAAAGGAAAGGGAAAGGAAAGGAGGAAAGGAAGGAAGGAAGAAAGGAAGGAAGGAAGGAAGGAAGGAAGGAAGGAAGGAAGGAAGGAAGGAAGGAAGGAAGGAAGGAAAAGAAATTGGACCACAGTGCCACAGTGGTCTAACTACGTAAGGGTATATTTTTATGTCACCAGAAGAATGGAGTTCAACTACCCTGGGCTGATTCAGCAAAACCAGAAGGTCATCACTGCCCCAGGCTCCTTCTACCTTGACAAGTGGTCTTTTTCCTCAGGTTCAACACTTCAAGGCCATAAGATAGCTGCTTCCCTCTGCCTTTCATCCATGTTCAAGGCAGGAAGAAGAATGAGAAGTGCAAAAGGTAAAAGGTACATGCCAACTGGGTCTCTCCACTTCTAAAAGGCTTCCTGGAAGGTTTAGCTAATGACCACCACTCATGTTGCATAAAATATAAAAATATTAATCAAATATTTCATCATCAGGGCTGGTAGGGACAATAGGAAAGCAACAAGTGTTTAAAACAAGTGGTTAAGGCCAGGAAGGGTGGCTCATGCCTGTAATCCAAGCGCTTTGGGAGGCCAAGGCGGGTGGATCACTTGAGCTCAGGAATTCAAGACCAGCCAGGGCAACATGGCAAGACCGCATCTCTACAAATTATACAAAAAGTTAGCTGGGCATGGTGGTACATGCCTGTATTCCCAGCTACTTGGAGGGCTGAGGTAGGAAGATTACCTGAGCATGGGAGGTGGAGGTTGAAGTGAGCTCAGATCATGCCACTGTACTCCAGCCTGGGCAACAGAGTGAGACCCTGTCTCCTAAAAGTAAAAGATAAAGAGTGGTTAGCAATTTTATTGCATAAGGTCCAATTCTGGTAAAGTGTGCTTTATTTTGGAAATTACTATTAAGATTGAAAATGCATCATTTGCCATTTTATTTATATCTTTCCTTATTATTTCTTCATCACTGAATGATTTTTATTCTTGATAGAAGTTTGGAAGTTGAACTGCTAGCACCAACTGTAATATGACTGTGTACTATTGTTGAGTAAGATAGCTAGTGTCGTCTTTTCTTGACTGACTTCATTCCACTTAATTATGGAATTTTGTTCATATCTTAGTGTCACTTCCTGGCCAGAAATTTTTTATTTTGCAAACAAGTCCAAACAGTAATATCTTTATTATGGAGAAGTACTCTTAAGTCCACTTACTTTGAAATATACATCTTTCATCAGCTAAGTTTTTCTTCTTGGCAACAGAGGTTTAGATTTAATTGAGAAAATGTCCCTCTTGCACTTAGATAGGCACTCTCCTAGCCAGCTCTCCTAGCCAGCTCTGCCTCTAGTCTCAAAAAAGCCATCTGATCCTCACTACTGCCTGTCAAACATCCTAATGGATTATTGTTCCTCTCCGCCAAACCCCACCCAAGGACCTAGCCAGCAGAACACTAAAACATCCAATCCACGCAGGCGAAATAAAATGATGCGGGGAGCCAAATCTAGAAACTTGGTACTCAGAGTAGGATCTTCCCACTGGAAGCATCAGCACTGCCTGGACCCTTGTTAGCAATGCAGACTCTACATGTCATCCTAAATCCACTGAATGAGAACCCACATAAGAAGACCTCCGTCAGTGGTTGTGTATATTAGTTTGAAGAGCATTGGCCTAAAGCAGTGGTTCTTAAAATATTGCTCCAGACCTGCAGCATAATCATCTCCTGGGAAATTGTGAGAAATACAAAATACCAGCCCTGTTGAATTTGACACATTAGGAGTGGAGCCCAGTAATCTGTGTTTTATCAAACCTTCCAGGTGATTCTGACGTAAGCCAAAATCTGAGAACTTTCCCTACAACGATAGTCAACCTCACTTATACAAAGAAATTATGTATTTAAACATCACAGCTCTCTCCTATCTTAGATATTTCTACTTATAGGAGGAGTGTTTTAAGTCAAATTTTCCAGAAGACCACCAGGAAAGACCACATCTATGTGTAGCCCCCACTCTTCTTCTCCCTCTGTCTATGTAACACTTGACAAGAATCCACATTTCAGACTGTTCCTTATGAGCTCACCCACATTGCCACACATTTGTCTCACCAGCCAAGATGAAAACAGCCTGCTGAGCCCCAAAGGAATAAACCATGGACAAGGGCTAGAGAACACGTTTGACTGGTTTGCAGGGTCAGCGTCAGGGCTTCAGTCTACTGGATAAATGCTGCTTTCTACAGAGACAGGTTGTGGAGAGGAGAAGACCTAATTCTCAATGCCATTGTCTTGGTGCCCCAGCCACGGAAAAAAAAATAGTCCTGATTTTCCACTACTCCTTGTATGCGCACTCTTCCAATCCAGAAATGGACTGTTTCCTTACCCGTTGAATCTGCTCTATGACTTGAATTGGCCATAGAATGTGGTAGAAAGGATGGTTCGCCAGGTCCAAGCCAGGCCTCCGGAGGCTTGAGCACTGTCCTTTTTCTCTCAGCCCCTTAGCCAGCACCAAGTGATGATACCCAGACAAACTAGCCTGAGAAACACATGCCCCCATCATGCCAACCCCAAAAAACAGCCAGCTAGTCACCACACATGTGGGCAAGGCCACCCTGGAGCAGCGCTCCTTCAGTTGACCAAACTCCCACATGAGCCCAACTGAGGGCAACAGAGAAGGGCCCAGGGCAAAAGGGCCACACACTGACCTATAACCTTGAGAACTAATAATGGCTCCTGTTTGAAGATGCTGAATTTTGGGTGCCTTGTTAGGCAGAATTATTGTGACAACAGTTCAGTGATACCTCACAACTTTCAGACCCTTCCTGGAGAAACACAGATATGGGACAGAAGCACTAAACTACAAATTACAGACAGCTCTTCACACCTGACTCTGAGTGTGAGAAGGTGGGTTTGCAGCTCAGGACCACGGAGGAGGCAGAGGCATTGGTGGTGAGAGAACACAGCACCAGAGAGAGGAGGCTTGGAGCTCAAAGGGGCTCGTGAGCTGCAAACAGCACAGCCTGGAGCCTTCTGTGAAGTCACACGGGGAGGAAGTGATGAGAAGGCAGGTTCTATTTTTGTTATGTGATCTAGAAAAAGTACCTGGGAAGCCAGCAGGGAGCCAATCAGGGAAGTTGACTGATGGGGCCAACAGGGGCTTCCGTTTTATAAAAGATGTGGAAGATAAAGAGAGAAGGGCCCAGAAGTGTGAAATTTGGTGGTAAAATTAGAACTAGGTTTTTTTGTAGCTTTAAATTTTTTCTTTATTGAGGTATAACAAAAATACAGTAAACTGGCTGGGTGCAGCGGCTCGCGCCTGTAATCCCAACACTTTGGAAGGCCATGATGGGAGGATTGCTTAAGTCCAGGAGTTCAAGGCAAACCTGAGCTATGTAGGGAGACCCTGTCTCTGCACAAAATTTTACAATTAGCTGGGCATGGTGGTGTACGCCTGTGGACCTAACTACTCAGGAGACTGAGGTGGGAGGATCCCTTGAGCTGTGATCATGCCTCTGCACTCCAGCCTGGACAACAGAATGAGACCCTGTCTCAAAAAAACAAAACTAAATAAAACAAAGCAAATGAAAACACGAAACAGTACATTGCACAGATCTTAGAGTCCAGCCTGGTGAACTGGTAGTGTGAGCTCCCAGATCAACATGAAAAGGCATTGCAGCACCTGGAAGGCTCCCTCGTGCCCATTCTTGGTCAACACTTCTTCAGAGGCAACCCCTCTTCTGACTTCCACCATTGCAGATTAGTTTTGCCTGTTTTTGAACTTCATATAAATGAAATCATGCAGTATGTACCCTTAAGTTCGTTTTCTTCTGCTCATCATTTTGCTTATAAAATTCTTACGTGGAGGTGCATGTTATAGTAAGATGTTCTTTTTCATCATTTTATAATATTCCATTTATGAACATAGCACAATTTATTCTGGTCTATAGGCATTCTGACTTTATGAATAGGGCTGTTATGAACATTCTTGTACATGCCTTTTAATGCACACACATTCTCTTTCTCTTGCTAAACCAGTGGCTTTTCATCAATCCCTCCTTTGTTCGTCAACCGGCCTGAGTCATGACCTGACACTCTTGGTCACCGGTTCATGGCAGGTTCACCACAGTAAGAATCTGCCTCTGAATTCAAAGCCCACTCTAAGAGGAAGAAAAGGGAGAGAAAGAAGAAGGCAGCTCCAGTGACTACAGAAATGATCATCAGTTCTTCCTAACGTCACATTTCGTCTCTAGTGGCTACCCAAAGTGCCTAAAATGACATTCATTTGAAGTAAAGATGTGAAGATTCCTTTTAAGATGCAAATGTGCTTTTTAGAAGGGTAAAAACATAAAGTAATTTAAATGTTACCTTTGCTGGTGCTTCATAATGTTCAAATTATCCTTTATTTATTAGCTCTCGCAGTATCCAGAGTGGCCTCTCAACCAGTGGCATCCATTACCCTAGGAGTTTGTAGGAAATGCAGAATCTTGGGCCCCAGCCCAGACCTGGAATCAGGATGTGCATTTTTAAAAGATCCCCAGGTAATTCCCATGCACATTAAAGTTTATGAAGCCCTATATTATCCCACTGGTACTTTATACAAAACTCAATAAACAGAGAGGAGTAATAATTGTTCTCATTTTACAGATGGAGAAATAATCAAGATGCAGAAAGGTGAACTTGACATGCCAAGGGCACCTTGCTGGTTCTGTGTCAGGGGACAGTCTCTAAGTGGAAGCTCTGTTGAGTTTCTGAACACAGATATTTCCATTATTTCACACTGGTACCCACTGGCACACCTAATGCTTCATCAGGCCAACCAGGCTGCCTCTCCCTAGAGAGCAGTGTCTTAAGGGCATGCACTGTGGAACTTTGTTTGGAGGTTGGCATGAGCAGCCACCAAGGACATAAATGTTGCAGAGTGGTAAGGAGGGGTACAAGGGGCAGGGTAGAGGAAGGGGCAAAGGAACCCCAGCCACCACATGAAATGGCCCAGAGGGGCTTGGGAAAGAGGAGTGAGGGGGCTCCAGAGACACATTTCAAATTCCTGGCCTTGCTGTCTGCTCCTCCCTCGCCTGCAGGCAGGAGGTCTGTGCTGTGACGCAGTCTGCTAGAGCCTGTTGGCAGCCAGCCTGGAGTTGGCCTGCACCCCCACTGCAGAGGTTTCAGTTATGCAGGGAGAGTGGAGGCTGCCCAATGCACCTTTGCTGGGCACTGCAGAGCATCCATGCCACCTGCACCAGAGGGAACACAGCTCTGCAGTAAAGCCAGCCAGACTGCAGTAACCCGAGATGGGTGTAGAACCATGCCCTTGCACAGCTGCAGGGTCCTCAGACCCTGGGTTTTCACCATCTCTTTCTGCACCCACCTCCAAGAAGCTGCTCCAGGTTGCAGAGTTGCTCTGCCTGTCCTGAAGATGTCTGGATTCTCCCCTTGACCCTGAACCCCATGACAGTTTCACAGCCAGGAAGACTGTGGCTCAGCAAGACTCAGGGTTCAGATTAGTGAAACTTACCTAGCTTCCATGGTCTGTCTTCCAATCCAGCTGGATGGGCTGGAATATACCCCCAGGGCTCTGTCTGCCTGTATACTGGTATGGGAAGACTCCAAGAAAATGCACAGCCTCCCCCACACCAGATATCAAAGGTACAGTTAGCGATGGCTTTCCAAAGCTGATGTCTCATTTGTTTCCTAACCTAAAAGGATGGCTCTAATGGCAGAAGTTCTGGGACAGGCAAAAGGAAGTGGGTACCACAGGCTGGTGAGGGAGCTGCGCATGGCAGGTAAAGAAGCTCATGGGGAGGTAAAGCTACAATGTGTAGTGAGCTGCCTCTGT